TAACACCTATTCAAAAACACTTAGCAACTAATCCAAAACACTAACCCCTAACCCCTAAACCCCAAACACTAACCCATAATACAAAAACTTAACAACTAGTCCAAAACCCTAACCCCTAACCCCTAACCCCTAAACCCTAACACCTATTCAAAAACACTAAGCAACTAATCCAAAACACAAACCCCTCACCCCTAAACCCCAAACACTAACCCATAATACAAAAACTTAACAACAAGTCCAAAACCCTAACCCCTAACCCCTAACCCCTAAACCCTAACACCTATTCAAAAACACTTAGCAACTAATCCAAAACACTAACCCCTAACCCCTAAACCCCAAACACTAACCCATAATACAAAAACTTAACAACTAGTCCAAAACCCTAACCCCTAACCCCTAAACCCTAAACCCTAAACCCTAACACCTATTCAAAAACACTTAGCAACTAATCCAAAACACTAACCCCTAACCCCTAAACCCCAAACACTAACCCATAATACAAAAACTTAACAACTAGTCCAAAACCCTAACCCCTAACCCCTAAACCCTAACACCTATTCAAAAACACTTAGCAACTAATCCAAAACACTAACCCCTAACCCCTAAACCCCAAACACTAACCCATAATACAAAAACTTAACAACTAGTCCAAAACCCTAACCCCTAACCCCAAACCCTAACCCCTAAACCCTAAACCCTAACACCTGTTCAAAAACACTTAACAACTAATCCAAAACACCAACCCCTAACCCCTAAACCACAAACACTAACCCATAATACAAAAACTTAACAACTAGTCCAAAACCCTAACCCCTAACCCCTAAACCCTAAACCCTAACCCCTAAACCCTAACAAGGGAAGTAACAAACTTGTCACATGAGTTTATTAGACTTACCGTATTACTGTGGCTACTTCCCTTTAAGGGGGTCCCACCTATTTTTGGTCAATCTGGGTCAAATCGGGTATTACGATATTTGTTGCCTTTTCTCAGTCATTTCTATGTTGATTTGATTGTCCTTTGGCACAATCGTAGTTAGTTGGATGCCCAACATTTTTTCTTCTTCATTGTTATTGTATCTTCACTAATTAGAGAGGTGTCTCATTTTTTTTCCAAAATATTTGATTTTTTAAATTTTGACACATTTTTCGAAACTCCTCTGAAGATTGCAAGTGTATCTTGATGGCACTTGGCATACTTGTTCCCCTTAGGGGTGGTTACATTACATAGTCAGCGTTTTTTATATCTATCTTAGTTTTCATTGTATGATTTTTTTAAATTGGAAAATTGACCGTTTTCTGCATTTTTGACAAGATTTGCACGCTTCTTCCTGTAACTCTGAAACGAAATAGGATATCTAAAGATACTGACTACGTTTAACTTATATGCCTCTTGGGTACATGTGTGCCAAAGGACAATAAAATCCATAGGTAAATTCC